TCAAAAGGTAAAACTTTTACTATCCATTTTGCTATTCTGCTTTTTGTCTCCTTTATATTGTTTTTCTTTAGATATTGTATTACTATGTGATCTGTTAATAATACAAAGTATTTATATCCTAAATAATAATGAAATTTTTCTATTGCTCATTCTGCTGCGTTCAGTTCTAATTCTGTTAGATTGTAATTTTTCTTGGATCCTCCTATACTTTAACTTGCATAGGATATCATATATTCTTTTCCTTCATCATCTATTTGTGCTAGTGCTGCTTCAAATCTTTTTGCAGATCCATCTGTCATTAAGTAGAATGTTCTATTGAAATCTGAATGTCTTAATATTGGTGTGGTTATTAAAGCTTGTTTTAGTATATTAAATACTTCTTCTTGTTTCTCAGTTCAAATGAAGGGTTCATTTTTCTTAACTAATTGATTCATTGATCTAGTTATTTGTGCAAAGTTTTTAATAAATTTTCTATAGTATGAGACAAGTCCTAAAAAATTTTTAATTTTTGTTACAGTTGTAGGTCTTGGAAAATCTTTTACTTTTTCTATCTTTTTAGAATCTGGTTTTATTTCATCCTTCCCTACTATATATCCTAAAAATATAAGTTCTGTTTTCACTAATTCACATTTGCTTAGTTTTATTTTTAATCCTACTACTTTAATTCTTCTAAATACTTCTTCCAATTTTTCTAAATGTTCTTCAAATGTTTTTGAATAAATTATTATATCATCCAGGTATACCATTACTCCATTATTTATCATTCCATTTAATACTGTGTTCATTAATCTTTGAAAAAGTGGCTGGTGCATTAGTTAATCCAAAAGGCATTATTGTGAATTCATATATTCCTTGTTTTGTAACAAATGCTATCTTTTGTTGGTCCTTTGGTTTCATTTCTACCTTAATAACCACTTGCTAAATTCAGGGTAGTGAACCATTGCGCTTCTCCTAATGTTCTCAACATGTCATCTATTTGTAGTATGAGGTGAGCATCCTTTTTAATTACATTATTTAATTTTCTATAAAAAAAAAAAAAAACTCTTTCCTGTTATCATTTATTTTATAAAAATACGCAGTAAAAATAACGAAAAAGTTTTATTTTATTTGTTTTTTATTTTTTGGAATTTATTATGAGCGCAAGCTCAAGTACCGGTCCTGCGAGGACTACTAGATCCTCAGTTCGAAAGAACCCAATACAAATAGTAAAAGATCCAATTATTAAGAAAAAAGTAGCAAAAAACTCCTCGAAACCCAAACAAATTAATTCAAATACAATGGAAGAAATTCATGAAACAGAAGAATCCCAAGATATGATATATGAAAATCAACCAGAAGTAATAATTTTATCTAAAGACAAAGGTAAAAACAAAGAAATAACAACAGAACAAAATGTCCCCTTTGATAAACAATCCTTAGAAAACAATCCCTTGGGAGGAAACGTAGACGAAAGCGAATGGACCCAAGTCACTAACAAAAAGAACAAACAAAAAAATATTGTGAATATCCAAAATCCTACTCTTAAGAATCAATAGCATCTTATGAGACTGAAAACAGTCATCACCCTGACTGGCGTCAAAAGTTTAATACAAAGAAATATAAAATTTGGACATACGCTTCAAGAATCCCTGGAAAAAATATTGGGAAAAAAATTGAACACGTGAAAAAAACCCTTAGACAAGAGACTGAATTAATTTTAGTAAGATCTGAAAACAATGGAAAAGACAAAATGATTTCAGTATTGTTCGACAACAAAGAAAAAATGCAGAAAGCAAAAAAAATAAATGTAAGTGAAAATGTAGAATTGCCCGCATACATGCATGCGGCGCAAGTATACAAATCTAGACCTTTCAATGATAATAATAAAGGAGTCAAGTTGTGGGACATTCCACTTGGAGTTAAACATAATGAACTAAAAATAGAATTAGAAAACCTCTATGGAACCATAGTACATCTCAGATTAATCCCAACAGGAATGTGGCAATTCGCGGTTGTTATATTTGAAAATGAAGAAAGTGAAAAAAACCTTTTACAACAATGGAGTATAATAATTGGAGAAGATTCTTTTCATGTTACCTCCACAGATTGTAACTATAATCAATTAATGGAACGTGGTAAATACGCAGCACAGATAATTAATCTGCCATTTGGTATTACAGCCAGGGAAATTATCCCAAACATTATGACAATTAAAGCTTTAACATGTTATATTCCAAGAACAAGAAATTATAGGAGAAAAGGAGAGGCAATTATTTCGTTCGTAGATGAAACTGCCCTGAATGGAGCCTTAGGAAAAGAATGGACAAAAGGAGAATATAATATTAAGGTCGTAAATATAAAAACTATAACATGCCATCGGTGTCACTCAGAAGAACATATTGCCAAGGATTGTCCTAGAACAATTCGTGATCGAACATTCGAAAAGAAAAATGAAGAACGGTTTGTTAAATTTGGTGGAATATACAAAAGACATAATCCCAAATTATTTTCTTCCCTGAATAAACAATTTGGAAAGAAAACATTTGCAGACGCGTTAAGATCTGATAATAATCAAAACCAAATTGTCACTAACAAAAAGGAATCTAATAATATCGATGAAAGACTAGAAAGAATTGAAAATATTATAAATAACCTTGTCAACAGAATGACAAATTTAGAGGCACTTGTGAAAAATAATAATAATAATGACAATTTCTCACAATATGACGAATATAGTAATTATGACCACCAAGAAGAAATGGACGAAGACGATGACATACCCAAGGATAATAATGACCCTTCTATCGAAACAACAAATGTAGAACCTGATAAAACTGATAAACTTCTTAATGTAGTTGAGAATATTGGACAACGAATATCTTCATTAGAAGACAGCTTACATTCATCTAAAAATAATAATAGATCACATAGAATAGAAAGTTGGGGATCCCCTTCTAATCAATAGTGTGTAACCAATCAATATATATATATTAAATATGATGGACGATCATAATAGTAATAATAATAATAATATATATAATAATAATAGTCATTCAATAGATAGTAATAGAGATTCACTCAATAATAATTTTAGTTCAATTAATTCAATTTCAGATAATAATAATTCTAATTCTATAATCTCTATAAACAATAATTTAAATTCTAACGATAGTATAGAAAATAACAATAGGGCAAAATCACATAGTAAAATTTGGAAAATAGCAACACAAAATTTAAGAGGAATAAATAGTGAACTTAAACAACAAAATTAGTGGAATTTTTGTATTGAAAATAACTTAGACATTATAGCAATCACAGAAACAAAACTAATCAAAAGGCATGAATGGACTATATTCAACAATCAAAGGAAAAAAAGTAGCGATACGATAATAGACAATACCAAAACTTATCACACTTGGTGGACTAGTAAAGAAACACAGGGTTCAGGATCAGGTGTCGGAATAATGGTATACTCTGATATTGCGCAACATGTATATAAAATTGATAGATTTAAAGCAAGGGCAATTTGTTTATATCTCTCTTTTAACGGAAAATGTACGGTACAATTAATTGCGACATATGCCCCTACTCAACAACTAAAATATAGGAATGAAATAAAGGAATTAAACAAATGGTTAACAAATAAATTGGGAGAAGCCCTTAGCAAAGATATGATTTCTAT